CCCACTTGGACACTGAACTGCCATGGGCTACATCTGTGCAGGGGTTCTAGGTTACCTCCATGAATAGTCCTATGGAGTATGAGTCTCTGGGAAGTTCCCTGTGTTCAGATTTTCTTGTTCTGTTGCTCTCCTTGTGGAGTTCCTGTCCTCTCCAGATCTTACTATTTCCCACTTCTTACATAAAATTCCATTCACTCTCCCCAACAGTTGGCCATCAGGCTCAGCATCTGCTTTGATAGTCTGCAGGGCAGAGGCTTTCAGAGGCCCTCTGTGGTAGGTTCCTAGGTTGTTTCCTGTTTTCTTCTTCTGGCTTTCAGAGGCCCTCTATAGAAGGTTCCTAGGTTGTTTCCTGTTTTCTTCTTCTTCTGATGTCCATCCTCTCTGCCTTTCAGGATGGGGATTGAGCGTTTTAGTTAGGGTCCTCTCTCTTGCTTAGTTTCTTTAGATGCACAGATTTTAGTGGGTTTGTCCTATGTTGTATGTCTATATGAGTGAGTATATACCGTGTGTGTCTTTTTGCTTCTGGGACAACTCACTCAGGATGATCCTTTCCAGGTCCCACCCATAAGATTTTTCTTTAATGATGCAATGTACTGTTGCGCCTTTAATTAATATCTGCATTGACAGTCTGAGGGCCGCTGATACTCCAACCAAGGACCATGCATGGCGATAACCTAAGACCCCTGCAGAGATGTAGTTCATGGCAGTTCAGTATCCAAGTGGGTTCCATAGTAATAGGAACAGGGACTGTCTCTGACATGAACTGATTGGCCTGTTCTTTAATTACTTCCCCCTGGGGGGAAGCAGCATTACCTGGCCACAAAAGAAGACAAGGCAGCCACTCCTGATGAGACCTAATTGACTAGGATCAGAAGGAAGGAAAAGAAGTCCTCCCCCATCAGTGGATTTGGGGAGGGGCATGCATGCAGAGGGTGAAGGAAGGGAGGAATTGGGACAAGAGGAGGGAGGGAACCACAGGGTGGATACAAAGTGAATAAAGTGTAATTAAAAAATATTCTATATGTTTAATATTATAAATGACTCAGAAACATTATTAACATTCTTTATGGGCATAAATATATGTGCATGAAAATTAAGTCAAAGTGTGTAGGGAAATATGATTAATGTAGTTTAGAATTTAAATAGACATTTATCAAAATATATAAATCAATTATAGAGAAGTACACATTTGCTAGTATTTAAGGCAGTCTTTCTGAACTGGACCTGGAATTTGCCATTTCAATTAGATTGGCAGAAATCACATACATGGACAGATACATGTTCCTGGATAGTCCAACTCTTCATCTAATTGTTATTACTCATACCTTTTAAAATGTATGTCATAACAAAATGTACTGTATGTCACTCATACGCTTAACCCTTAAAGGAAATGCAACTTTTCTATAACACCACAACATAAAGAACAAAATATATAAATGATTACAAAGAAACATGATAGTCGTTCATTTTAGTGTGATGTGTAAATTTAGGGTTAGAATAGATATTTATGTACATTAAGAAAATTATGAAAAAAATTATTACCAATAAGTCTAAAATATTGGGAATACATACGCAGTGAATATATCCCTATGCAAAGGAATCTTAGTTGATATATTTGTACACACACACACATCTCCCACGTATAAATTGTACGTACATACCAGAATACAGAGAAGTGATTTCATTATTAGGTTCCATTAGTGTGCTGTTTACAAAAGTCAAAGTATCAGTTATTTAAGGCTCTTTGAATACTTCAGAATTAAGATAATTTTCAAATTCCTAAAGCATAGTGGCAGCCTAGACATCATGGACCATGCTATGCTGAGAGAACCGCTCTGAGTCTGCTCTTCTGCATTACAGCCTACTAAGCTGTAGTCGGTATCTTTTATGATCTTTAAAAACTGATACTGTTAAACTTGATTAACCTGAAAAAGGACGACACCATCAGACAAGCTTCTGAGGAAAAGGGAAATTAGGAGGGCTGCACCAGAGACAGAAACCTCCAATCAAGGATATAGAGAGGCAATTTAAGAATAACGAGGGTGGCAGAGCTCACCTTCTTCTGGGATGTACCCTGAATTATTTTCCCAGTACAAAGTAGTAAGCCATGAAGTCATATACATAGAAACAAAACTGAAAGAGAAACTCAGCACATTGTATTTATATATTTATGAACAAATATGTGATAAGTATATATCAAAAAAGATAACAAAGTAAGGGAGCAAGAATGAGGCAACAGGACTTGAGATGGCCTGGAAGGAGGAACAAGCAGAAGGAAAATGATGTAATTATATTTTAAATTAAGAAAATAAAATGTTAAATTTAAAAATACAATTTATTTTAAATTTTTCTTACTTCTATTCATTTCATACTGTAATATATGACATTTCCAGTTTTGACAAAGAAGTTTCTTTTTTTGAGGCTTTTTCTTTTATTTAGATTGTTATTCACAGTTTACTAAGGACAAAGAGGAGATATTTTAAAGGTAGAGAGGAACTTTTCATTTCATATAAACTTGACTTTCACTGCTCTTATAAGAAAAGTTAGTTGATTTTCTGTATTAGCTTTTTTTTAACTTTTTTAAATTTTTTTATTAATTACACTTTATTCATTTTGTATCCCCCCATAAGCCCCTCCCTCCTCCCCTCCCGATCCCACCCTCCCTCCCTTTTCTGCATGCATGCTCCTCCCCAAGTCCACTGATAGGGGAGGTTCTCCTCTCCTTTCTGATCTTAGTCTATCAGTTCTCAAAAGTGGCTGCATTGTCCTCTACTGTGGCCTGGTAGGGCTGCTCCCCCCTCAGGGGGAGGTGATCAAAGAGCAGCCAATCAGATTAGCTTTTTAATTGAAATTCATTTTTGATTTTTTTTAGTTTACTTTTTTCTTTGTTATTAAAAGACTTAATAAAAAGTGTAGTCACTGATTTATGGATTTTTTTTGTAATATAAATTCCACTTATCTAAAACTTTTGTTCTTTGTACTATAATCTCTTTCTTTTTGTATAATTTCACCCAACTGTGTGTTACTTGTCAAGAGTTGAAATGGTCATGTGTACTTGTAATAAACACATAATAAATATAAAAAATCACATGTTTACTCTTTTCCGTGATTGGCAGATGAAATCTAAAAATGGAAAACAAACTTAGCTAGGGGGAAGTCATTTATTTACCAGTTTATTCTACTAACTTCAGAGAGGAACAAGATGTTTTTCCTTTCTTCAACAAGACTTGACCTAATATCAACAGTGGAAAACAGGATCATTTTAAAGTTCATGCTATTCAGAAATACAGAGAAGCAAGGGCAGCTCAAACAGCAAGCTACACAGAACAGCCTCCACTTTAACTCATGCTACACCATTCCTCAGAGAGTAGCTGGGCGGAGTGCATCTCTCTATTTTACTTGAGTATGAATATGTTTCTATCCTTAGTTAGATTATATTTTAACTAGAACTACATAATGAATTGAAAATTTATCAACAAATTACTTTTATTGCAGTTGTGTTTTTCTTTGTTTTTGTTTTTGTTTTTTCACACTCTGACTGTTTAAGTCTGCAGGGTTAGCCCAAATCCAAAACTGCCTTTTATTCAGTGGTTGTTCCTATAGAGGTGTGAACTCTATGATATTAATCTGCTAATTGCATTTTAATTGCAGTATTCTTTGAAGATGCATATTATGCTCTGTGCAAAGACTACCACACAAATTAAGCACCTGCAATAATTTGATTCATTCCAAAATTTGTGTTTCATAGATAGTATTACTTTTCCATACCAGAATAACTTTATTTTTTAACACAGAGTATTAAAAAAAAATAATGTATGTGTTGATGGTATTTTTGCACAGAGATACTGGTAGAACCTCAGTCATATTTATAAAATATAAATGAGTATTAGAAACAACCTTTTAATGAAGTATTACTTTAGTACTTTGCTGGTTACTGGCAGAGACCTATGAAAGTAGAGATGAACAGTCTTAGAAAAATTGACAGAATGAAAAGAAAAACCACAACCTTAAATCAGAAGTTTCATTCTCAGTTTTTCCTGATTTGATTATCTGTCTTCGGTTGCTTTGAGCTAGAGCATACAGAGAAGTGTCTCTCCTCACTCAAGCTAGTTCTTAATGGTTTCATTTTATCTAAAGTCCATGCATATTTTGGATTCAGGGCTGTAGAGCTTCAGAAAGGAATTTAAAAATACATATCTGGGCAGAGGGTCTTTTCTGAGACTGACATTCAACCAAGGACCATCTATGGATATAACCTAGAACTTCTGCTCGGATGTGGCCCGTGGTAGCTCAGTAACCAAGTAGTTTTCCAAAGTAAGGGGAACACGGACTATTTCTAACAGGATCTCAAGGGCAGGCTGTTTGACCCCCCCCCCCCCCAGGGGAGGAGCCGTCTGTTAGGCCACAGAGGAGGACTTTGCAGCCAGCCCTGAAGATACCTGATAAAACAGGGTCAAAATCAGTGGACTTAGAAAGGGGCAGGGAGGAGACCAGGGAGGGAGTGTGGGGTTGGGGAGGGAATGAGGGAGCGGGATACAGCTGGGACACAGAGTTAACAAAATGTAACTAAAAAGAAAAAAATAATAAAAAAATAAAAAATAAAAAAATAAAAAAAATAGATGATTACACCAAGTTTGAATCATTGTTATGCAAAGAACTTCAGTTATTCAAGACAAAAATTAAAATATTAGTTAAAACCAAAATTAACCAGCTTTAACTAAAAACCCAGATTGAAATGGACACTAAGGTGACCTTACCTGTTGGAATAAGATAATCCTAATCACTTATTGAATATATATTTTATCTTAATGCATGTTTTCAAAGTTAGAGACAGAGAATTTCATTTTTTACCTGCTTCGTACAGTACTGTGAAAGACAATGGATACTTTTTATGATCTTTAAAGAAAAACACCTATCATAGTTTAACTTTAAAATAAAAACTGAGTAGTAAGTAATCTCATTCTCTTTGTATGACTTGTCTCTGCGTGTTGATTTCTCAGGTTTGACTGTTGACCACTTCGGTGAACGCATCTACTGGGCTGACTTTGAGCTCTCCATCATTGGTAGTGTCCTGTATGATGGTTCCAGTCCAGTGGTCTCTGTGAGCAGCAAGCAAGGTTTGCATAGTACTTTTGATATCGAGACTGTTAATGCATGAAACAGACATAGATGTATAGAGGTTCTCCAACCTGGATTTCCTTTAATTCTTAAAAGTTGCAGTGCTTATATTAATTAAAATGTTCAACCTTTCTGCTATATTGAAGAGACCAGAGCAGAGAGCTCCTCAGCTTGAACAAATGTGGGTGCTTGCTTTCCATGCTCATAAATTAGTTCATTCTGTAAGTCATTTATGGTTAGTGCTAGTCAACACAAATTTTCTTTTTTGAGATTGGGATAATGGGCATAAATAATCATGTTACTATCAGTCCTTAATCATGCACACGGTTATTAGGCCAAGAAAAAAGTAGGATAGCAAACTGGACCGTTCCCACCAACAGTTCAGGATCTTCTGAGCCCCAAGGCTGGGTCCATTTTCTTCTCTGATTTTCTTGTATCTTGTTTTTATCATTTCTCGTTCTTTCTAATTGCCTAACACCTTTTTTCCTGGCTTTCAAGTTTTCTTTTCTTTCCTCTTTCCATAATTTGCCCACAAGTGCAATATAAACTTAAAAATTAAGATTTTTTCAGAGGTCTTGTGTGGAAGGCTCCTGACTAGGAAAGGGAATAGAGGAAGAAGAGGGAGGATGTATGGGACTGGGAGGAGACGAGAGAGGGTACTAAAGCAGGGATACAAAATGAGTAAATTATAATAAATAAATGCATAAATAAAATAAAATTTAAAAAGGATAAATCCTTTTAAAAAGTAAAATTTTTATTATGTTAACTAATTTTAACATTGCTTAAATTGCTTTAATAGTAAAAATGAGGAAGATGAAAACATAATTAAATGAAAAATCAGTGATATCTGATTAAATAGTGCATTTTATTGCTCTTGTTATTGCTTCTCTTTTTGTTGGTGTTGTTAAGTTTTGGTTCTTGGATATTCACAAAATATTTCTGTACCTTTACTTTAGTATTATACAGTGTTGCAAAGAAACTTGGAGAAAAAATATTTATATTTTTAAGATTTTTTTTACTCTATGTATATAAATGTTTTGCCTGAATATATGCTCATGTGCCATATCCATGTGTGATGCTAATGGAGGTCAAGTGAGGGGAGTCAGATCTCCTGAAACTAGAATTGCAGATGTTTGAGAGCCATCAGGTAGGTGCTAGGAACTGAACTAAGGTCCTCTGCAGAAGCAGCAAATGCTCTTAACTGCAGATTTATTTTTTCCAGCCTCTTCATTCTTTTTTTTACAGCAGAAGAACATAGTGTCTTTCTATTGTTGCTTTATGGTGTCTTATCCTGTAGCCCATGCTGACCTCAAACTCATGCTTGTCTGTTTCTGCCTCCTGAGTGCTAATTTTACAGATGTATGCCAGAGTAAGAATGTTCATTATCTGAAATCATCTTGTAATTTCAAATCTTGTCATAAACCACTAATTCAGTTGATAGAATTCAATTTAAAACTTGATCCATGAGAATGTTCGAAATAGCAGCCTTTGCGCTACAGATGACTTTGTTTGTGCTAAAGCTTGGCTTTTTTCTTGCAAACATTATGGCAGAAAAAAAATTTACTCAAACAATAACCCCAAACACTTTTAGGTGGAGATACATGAAGGTGATGGAGTTGTTTGTTCAATATGTATTGGTGACATACTTATTACCTCACAGCTACTATTGAAAACTTGGATAAATCTAGCTATTTTAAAGATTTGAGTGTATATACACTTGTGTTAGCAAACGTTAATTGTAAACTATAACTACTTAAGCATGTCATTGATTGTATGTGGCAATTTAATGCTACACTGGCATTAGCTCCTCTTTCTTGAACATTCCAGGTTTGTTGCATCCTCACAGAATTGATGTCTTTGAAGATTATATATATGGAGCAGGACCTAAAAATGGTGTATTTAGAGTTCAAAAATTTGGCCATGGCTCAGTAGAGGTCCTAGCTTTAGATGTTGACAAAACAAAGAGTGTTTTGATATCACATCGCTATAAACAACTAAATTGTAAGTAAAATATATCAAACATTTCCTTGTGTCTCTTAAAACCATATTTCTGATTATGCTAATGATGTCTATACTTCTAGTAATCTCTCAAAGTTTGCCTTGGTGTCGCCAGACATATAAAATCAGGAACAAAGATGCTTTTGCTTTTGTCAGAGAGATATGAATGCCGCATACCTCTTAGGATTAAAATTGTCTTTTAAAATAGTTTTAAGAACTTGTAAATATATAATATAACATGGAGTTATGAAAATCCATCAATAGCTATTTCTCATTGTTGTTAACAACCATTGACTACCGTGCTATTAACCCTGTAGCCTAAAGAGTGTTCATAGATATCTCTTCCCAAGAGTTGTCTCTTCTCTGATTTGTTGTTTATAACATTTTATAAGCATAAATCTCCAACCTAGAAAAGGTTCAGTGAATAAATAATTGAGGATATTATGTAGAAACTATGTTGCAAACTCATTCAAAAAGTACAAAAGTATGATTGAAAATCTAAAATAATGTATACATAAATTAAGTCTTTATTAAATTGTTTCAGTTCATTTAGACATTCTTTAAGGCAAATCAAAACAGATTTCATTTTGAGTTTTGCAACTATTTGAAAAGACCACAGTGTTTACCTAAGTCAATTGGAACAAATTCAAGCAGGACCTAAAATTTCTGAAATAGCTCCTTATATACTGCTGCCTTTACTAAAAACCACTTATGTTGGGTCTATGGTTAACACAAGGACACTTCATGCGACCATACAGTTCTGCCTAACGTATAATCACAGCCAAATATGGGTATATCCATAATCTAAAGTTAATTCATTGCTCTCCTAAACATGATAGAATTTGAGCACTGGATTTTATCAGAACAGTCTGTGATCTGGCTGGAATCTAAGAAAGACCATGAACCACCTCTAATGATATAAGATGCTCATTAATAAACATTTAGATAAGACAAACTTTTATGCTCAGTCTTATATGTTACAAAGTCCTACACAGTAAACATGGAATCATTTTAACACATTTCAAATCATATTCATTTTTATATTACAAAGGCATGTAAATATTCAGTCTTTGTAAACACCAGTTATTAGTTATTTTATTGATTAAAGCCGTACAGTGAAGTTATATACAAATTAAGTTTTGGATGTCCAAACACTTCAGTTGGGGTACTTTTATAAACAGGGAGGTTCATTGAAAATTTAAAATAGTAAGAGTCCAGCAAAATTCTCAGTTGATAATTCCTTACCTCATAAGTTCAATTTAGACTAACTACCTAAGGTTGAGTCTTGAATATTCTGGAAAAAGCAATCACCAAATCATCATTCAAAATTGGCCAAAGGAGAAAATAATCAGTGTAGATAACTGTACATGAACTGTATAAAAGAAGCCATGCTGTTCTTGAGTCAAAACTAAAATAACTTTATGCAGCAATAATATGAAGTTATGCCAAATGCATAAATTAACAATCATTCTCCTTTAAAATTGGACATTGTTTTTTTATTACTGAAGGTACTATGTAATGATTTTTATTATAAAATAGAATGTTAACACTATAATGCCACAGCCTCAGTACAGTATCGTTTTGATTTCTTTTTCACATCGACAGTTCATCACTCAGCTTACTGAATTTTTATGCTTTTGAACTTATTTCAACTTTGATTCCATACGCCTCTGTTTTCTTCATTTTGTTTCCGTTAGTACCCAATCCTTGCTTGGATTTATCATGTGATTTCCTCTGCTTGCTGAATCCTTCTGGGGCCACGTGTGTCTGCCCAGAAGGAAAATACATGATGAATGGAACCTGCAATGATGACAGTCTGTTAGGTAGGTATTCCTGTTATTCTGTAAATGGTCAGATGAATTACTATATAAACAGTGAGGATGAATTTATATGGATTTTGGAACTAGGCAATATTACCTTCTTCATCCACTCATCTGCCATAATGGCAGTTGCTCTTGAACTTCTGTGAAAACAATCCTCTCTACAGAAGGTTCTTTATGCCCCAGTCTCTGTTAACAGAACACTGTACATTCATGTGCTCAATGGATCAATAACTGAAAAGTTACTATCAGAATCTAAATAAATTATTAGATAGTTCTTGCTTTATACATAATATTTTAAAGGTGACTTTCTTCTACAGGCATAAATTCTAGCCCCAATTCCATTTACTCATTCAATGTATTTGTTTTTAATACTTTTCATTACTTCATGTATGCAGAACACAAATTTAGAAAATACAGACTACATTAGAAATTACCTTAATCTTTCCATGGGAAATGTATTTATATTAAATACCATTAGTAGTAAGAATAATACTAGTACATATTTCAACTTTTATAAGCAAGTTAGAACACTTACTAACTAAGGACTAATTTAGCAGTGAAGCTATTCATATTTCTTCATGTAGCTTGTATTTTTGATGTATGAATTTAGAATGGACAGCCATAATTTCTGATAATGGTATTTTTTAAAAGATGAGATTCAAAAACAAAAAGATGGAAAAGAAAGAAAAGTTTTCTGCTGAATACCCAATAGATAAAACTCTCAAACTTATGGTATTAGTCATAATTGGAAAAATTCTATTAAAAGAAAAACCCATACTTACTAAATTTTATGCCACAGACTAAAGCAGCATGCTCCAAAGCAGTTTTGGATCACAGCAAGCATTTCAGAATGAGAGATAAATTTAGGATATCTTCACAGCAGGATTTCTTACTTTTTTTTTTCCTGTCTTAGAATTTACTGTTCATCTCTGTATATCATCTTCATCCTCATTTGCCCTCTCCTTCTCCAGATCACTAGCTCCTTGTTTTCCACTCTGGGTTGTAGGTTGCATTCAGTGTAAAAAAACTTAGCAGGAAGTTGTCTAAGTCAATCAATCATCTTTTTATATTTTTTTAATGTCCACATTTTAAACATTGAATACCTGAAGAAATTAAAAGACGACGTGATGAATAATGTATGCAAGTGGCCAGTGTTTATCTGCACAGCCACAGTTGGTACAGCAGGGGCCTACTTCAACTCCTGTTAGAATTCAGATAATTATGAGGATAAGAATTCAGATAAGTGTGAGGATCTTTTGAATTTCCTTAATGACATGATTTTCAACTAAAATAGAAGAGAGTTTGGATTTAGATGTAAACTGAAGACAGGGGAAAAAAAAAACTCTGCTACAACATGGAATTAGGGTGTATAGAGGATACTTTAAAACATTTACACTGTCAGAAAGAAGAGTAGAGATGCCGTGTGGGCAGCAAGTTTGTCGCTCCTGGTAGAGAGCTGTGGATCATTCCTGAGTTTGTAGTGTGTTAGCTCCAGTTATCGAACATATTCTTTTATTGGTTCATGATGACCTTTATGCTTTGTTAATCTCCTACCGTCTAGAGTACCTGTGATCTCAGTTGTGCAGGGGAAATGAAGTATTTTCAGATATCACCATTATTTTATTTTCTGGCTAGGTCAAGAAGCTACACTGTGTGGGAGTGTGCAGTGTAGGCAGCCACCCAGAAACTGAGTTTCTTAAAATGTCAACCACTACTTTCAAGTGAAAATACCTTATCTCGCTATCCTCCCACCCACATATCCATAAAGGATGCCCCCACAGGAGTTTCCCGTGTTCTATTTCTACTTCAGTGTTCAAACTGGTCTCTCTCTGTAGAAATAGAACAATGTGTTTGGAGTATAAGTAAAATCTCCAGGTCGTGTTTTGGTGTAGCTGAATCCAGTTCTCTTTTTCTGATACACACTTTTGGTACAGCCCTGATCTTTAGCTCTTCATGCACTACTGTCGTTAGCAGCTATTGTTAAAAAATTAGCACACAATATTCATATAAGAATTATAAATTCAAATATTCCTCAGGCTCGGTAGAACACTCACCCATTCCTTCCTAAAGTTGGATCTAACAGCTGCAGCTTGGCCTCTGATTATTACTTAGTTATTGATAAGTGCAGGCTTCTGTTTAAATGCAAAGAATTATTAAAGTAAGCCTGGAATGGCTGTAACTCAACTTTCATTTCAGCAGGGTCCTGTCCTGTTTTTAAATTGCTAGTGCCTAGTAAATCCTAATATTAGAATGTTCATCCAATGTGTAGATTTTGGATGTCTGTATCATTCACATATAGTAACTGCAGTTAGGAATTAATCTTCCTAAAGTGTCTTAATGGTCATCTCTAGTGTTCTTATTCAGAATCTATATTTTTTTCTCCTAAATGAATTAGATATGTTTTAGGAATCTATAAGTTAGGCAAACACTTTCCACACTGAATATTTGAAATATTCTTAACCTCCCCACAGTAAACATACTACAAAGAATCCCATGTTCAACTGAAGTGGGTACTTGAAGTTAATAGGCTAAGAAGGGAACCATCTTCATTTTCCCATCCCTTCACATCTCACTGATTTCCCTTTCCTGTTCCCTCAGATTGTTTGCACCTTTGACCATCATGCATTGCTTTATTTAGGTCATACTCATATTGCACAATCAGAGTAACTTATGACATCTTACTCATCATTCTGATTTCAATTAAACATCTACCGATATATTAATTCTCAAGCTTTTTAGGCTCTCCACAGTATTTATATTTGGGCAAGGATGCAAAAATACAGCGGTCCTCTTCTTCCATCCTTATCTCTTCAAAGCCTTGCTTCTTGGGGGAGAACTTTCCCTCACACTCATTAACTCAGGTAAAGTCAGACATTCATTTCTTTTCTCCCAGGCTCTGATTTCACAGATACACGTCCACTAGCAGCTATACTCTCAGGGAACCTCATGGGCAGTCAAGGTATAAGGTTCAGTAATGATATTTAAACACTTCACCAAATAGGTGATGCCATTGCCTGTTGGACTCTATCAATATACAATGTAAATACAATTCTCTTTTTTCTTCAGCTTTTTTCTGTTTTAGACGATGTAAATAGCTGAAATACCTATATTACATGAATGCATCTATTGTGTATCCATAGAAAATTATATTTATGTTTTAAATTTTTAATGTTTTTCTCACTTAAAAATATTAATGTCAAAACCAAAATTCACATACTCTAAACATTAATTCCATTTATCTATAGAATCCAGTTAAAGGTTAGATTTTCTCATATGCATAGTAAACAACAATGGAACAGAAAAGAATACCAGAAAGTCTACTGGCAAAGCTAAGGCCACCTAATTTTTGAATGAGGCATAAGCATGCAGTTGAAAATGACAGCCTACATTACAAATAATGTTGACTGTGTCATCTTAGAACGGCTATCACTTTTAAAAAAAAAATGACAGCTGTTCAGAAGAAAATGTGAAAAGGGGAATATGCTTACCCGTGGCTGGTGAAGTGCCAGCTTTACCAACGTTACAAAAACCGGTTCAGGGGCTTTGCAAAATATTAAAAATAGAGCTGCCATAGGACTCAATTATTCCACTTACAGGCACTGTTTTATTCATTTATTTTATTTTGGTGACAAAACACTCTGACCAAGTCATTTATATATAACAAAGCATTTAATTGGGCTTTCAATTCCAGAGCCTGAAAGTCCATGGCAGTTGGATGAAAGCATGATGGTAGGAACAGCCGAGAGCTTACATCTCAAACTCTAAGCAAGAAGGCAGAGAGGACTAGCCTGAAATGATGTTTTTTAAAACCTCAAAAACTTTCCCTGGTGACATAACTCCTCCAGCAAGGCCACAAATCGTAATGCTTCCCAAATAATTCTACCAGCTGGGGACCAACTATGTCTCATATTAAGTGAGGTGATTCAAATTAGGAAGGAAAAAAAATCTGCTTGTTCCCTCTCTTACATAGATCCTTGTTTACAACATAAACATATACAGGTAAACAAATGTGGGAGTAAAATCCAAAAATTGAGAAAGGAGATAATAAAGAATAATATTGGGTGGTAATATAGTATGGGCTGTAGGCAAAAGAACACTTGAGTAATGAAAGAAATATAAACCTAATGATTTTCTAGTTTTCAAGGTGTTTTTATGAATTGAACTTGGTTTTTATTGAAGTGGCAAGAATCACTCTGTTTGCCAGAACCACAGCATGCATTATTTCTCTGAGGCTGTGACTGCAAAATGTGGCCTTTTTAAAAAATTCAATTGGCCATCACTGCATTAGGAATTAGTGAGGGCTAATAGCTGAGTACTTGTGTTCCACTGACCCACTTAGGAAAATTGAATTCTTAAAATTAGGTATGTGGTGAGGAGTTCTGCAACCTGAACTTTTCTCTCTTCTATTTAAAAATACATGAAACCATTCTATTACAATGGTATTTGACATGTCCATTGCATTGTCATTCATAAAGCATAGTGTTAAAATAGAAATGTATCCATTGTAAAATATGTTATATCTAGAAACTTTTGGTTACTAATAAAAAAATATAAAGAATGAAAACAATGTTTTAAATAAGAAAATGTAAGTTAAATATCTGTTTATACTTGCTGTGTAATTTTTCAACTTCCACGTTAGGTGTATTTTGTGAAGAATAAATTCTAGTATTCAAATCTATGTATTTACTTGGATTGTTTGAAGCATCTTCGAACAACATGCTTGTCTCTATTGTCCTTCTTTTAAATAGATGACTCCTGCAAACTGACTTGTGAAAATGGAGGAAGATGCATTTTAAATGAGAAAGGTGATCTGAGATGCCATTGCTGGCCCAGTTACTCAGGAGGAAGGTGTGAAGTCAACCATTGTAGCAACTACTGTCAGAACGGAGGGACATGCATACCATCCCCTCTAGGTAAATATCCAACCCAACTAGTTGTGCAGATTATTTGCATTTTCCTGATAAATGAAAAGTGTGAGTTAAATAAAGTCTAATGATCTTTAACTATGAAATCGTCATAATTAAACTTAAAATTAATTTAACAAAATCAAACGGGTTTATTTAGTGTATGAAAGCTCACACCACAAAATTAGTAATAGTAACAGACACAACTATGGATTAGCTTGTACTTAGTGGAAAGCATAGTTCTTGAACAAGAATCAAAATAGCCTAGGATTAGCAGTGTTTTTTTTAATTTTCATGTTAAGTACACATAACTATATACAGAAGCACATTGAAAAGTAACAGAACTCCATACATAATTATGGAGTTTTCAATATATATTTTATTTCAGCTAATTTTATTTCATTTCTTTCCTTTTTTTCCCTTACTTTTTCTCTCTGTGTCATTTGCTCCAGTTCAAATTGATGTGTGTTAAGTGTGAGAGATATGTAACTAACTTGCTTTTTTGTATAGGTGGATATCCAGGCTTTCTCTTTTGTCCACAAGCTTTTGGCAATTTTGTAAAATTTAGTTTTTCATAATTACGTTGGTGTGTTTGGTGTTTTGATTGTTTCCCATTGAACTACATGTGTGTTTCTGTGAAACTACTATTATGCTTTTATTACCATAACCTTGTAGCTCAGCTTGAGGTCAGAAAGTGTGTGTGTGTTATGCATGTGTGCGTGCATACTTACTGGCGTGTGTTTGTGCATGGTGTACCCATGTGTTCCTGTGGGTGTCATCATCTGTGCATGTAGGCGCTGTACTAAACCAAGCATACTGTTTTCTACATTACTTCTTGAAACAGGATCTCTTTACTGATCAGTCTCATCAGTTTGGCTCTACTAATGTTGTGCCCAGATCTTAAGCTCCCCAAAGACCACCAGGAGCAGGACCGCATATGCAAAAGCAAAGAGCTTTATTTGAGCTTAAGCTCAGTCTCTGGACCATCACCAAAGTAGTGGATCAGAGAGGAGAGCAGCTACATGGCAGGGTTTTGGTTTGGTACTTGAGCAAGAACCGGGAATTCCCAGTTTAGCAGCTACAGGATTGGATGATATTCACCAAGGGCAAGCTTGTTACAAAGTGATTGACTAACATCAGGAATGTTATGTTGGTGGGCTGCCCAGAACACATGCCCTGCCCTGAGATAAGAACCTTCTCATTTTGTGGTTACTTCCGGCCTATTCCTTGCGTAATTTTTTTTTATTCCTTTAAAAAATACATTATTCTTTATTACTAAGATTTTGATTTCTCTTGACATACAAGTGGATGTCACTTGCTATTTCCATACTTATAAACCAGGTGCATAATTAAATCCAAACCCCCTCATGGAGCCCTCTTTTTTTTAATTTTTTATTAATTACACTTTATTCATTTTGTATCCCCCCATAAGTCCCTCCCTCCTCCCCTCCCGATCCCACCCTCCCTCCCTGCACAGATGTAGCCCATGGCAGTTCAGTGTCCAAGTGGGTTACATAGTAATGGGAAGAGGGACTGCCTCTGACATAATCTGATTGGCCTGCTCGTTGATCACTTCCTCCTGAGGGGGGAGCAGCCTTACCAGGCCACAGTAGAGGACAATGCAGCCACTTTTGATGAGAACTGATAGACTAAGATCAGAAAGGAGAACCTCCCCTATCAGTGGACTTGGGGAGTGGCATGCATCCTTGGGTAATTTTATGGCTTTCTTATTTCTGGGATTGGTGACCTATGGCCTAGTTCCTAGGACTGATAACTCGTGGGGGTAGGGGTCAGGCTTGGTCCTTTGACTAGCAGGCCAATAAGGCTCTAGAATCTACCTATCTCCACTTTGTCAGTGATGTGTTTCTAGGCACACACTGCCATGCCATGTGTTCATATGGAGACAAAGAATCCAAATTTGTGCACTCTTGCTTGCACAGGAAACCTTTTAGCAACTACAGTACTGTTTCAGCTCTATTACTCTAGACTTGTCTTTCTTGGGAGAATTGTTATCACGAATTCATTCCTCTTATTTCTTATAACTCTAATCAGGTTGCTTATGTATTCTTTTCTATTCTAGAAAAGTCCTGGATACATATGTGTTTACAGATTTGACTTTTTAAAAAAATCATTGGGTCTATTTTAATATCAGTTTTTAAAGTATTCAGTGGTGGCCTTATAAACTTTGTTGGAGTGTGTTGTGACAATTACCCCTTTGTCACTAATTTTATTAGTTTGTATCCTTTCTCTTGTTGTTCAACCTTGATCATCTTATAAAAGAATCAAAATTTTATCTGATTAATTCTATTTATTGATATTTTAGTCTCTATTTCTTTAATTTATGCCAAATTTTTATTATTTCTTTCTGTTTTCTACATTTAAATATTCTTGCTTTTCTAGCACTTCAAGGTATGCCATTAAGTTATTTAGTTCATTTCTCTTTGACTTTTTAAAAATGTAACTGCAACTACAAACTCCTTTAACAACTGTTTAGCCTGGGTCCCAGAAGTTCTGTTATTTTGTGGCCTTAATTTTGACTGTACTAACATCTTAAGTTTGTCATTCTTTATTTCAATGACTAAGTCTTCACCTAAAAGTATATTGTTCAGACCCTAAGCATTTGTATGTTTTCTAAGGTTAGTATTGCTAGTAGTTTTTACTTGCAATCCACTGAGGTCTAATAAAATTCTAGAAGTTATTTCATTTGTGTTTTGTTTGTATATTCACTTATACATTAAAGCTTTTTTACTGGTCTGTAATGTGGCCAATTTTAGAGGATATTCTCTGTCAGTGAAAAATAATGTGTTCTCAATGTTAGAGCTGAATATTGTGAATATTGTTAAATATATTTTATCTATTGCTTAGGCTAACTGATTTTTCTTCATGGATTTTTACTTTGAAGGTCCTAGCTACAGTGGGGTTTAAAACGACTCACCATCATTGTGCCTGAACCTATGCAATATTTTATTCCTCTGAGTGTTTGTTTTATGACATTGGACCAGACACTTAATGTATAAATTTTTGTAATCATAGATTCTCTTTCAAAATCATCTCTTTAGAGTTCATTGCCTTTTTAAAGATTTCTTCTCATTTGTTTTAGCTTGATGAATGACAATTGCTACATTACCTTGTTTGTAGCTTCTCTTTGTGTGGTAGTTAGGCTTTTATTCTGCCTTTGACATAGTTGGGATATCTGTTCCCAACAGTGTGTTCTGGCTGTGAAAAATCAGATAACTGGTCCATGCTTTCTAATTCCTCCTGTTAGTGTCTGTCTTTTAATTGAAGGGTTAGGACCATTTACATTTGTTGTTATAATTGAGAGTATTTACTATTGATTAGATTCTATTCCTTGTTTTTCTGGTTGGTTGTGTTTTTTGTTTGTTTGTTTGTTTTTGTTGTTGTTGTTTTTGTTTTTCTCCTCCAAGTAAGTATTTTAGATGTTAACTGGTTTGCTATGCTGAACATGATCGGCTCCTTTTTTTTTTCCCATTATTTGCATGAACTGTATTTTAACCATAAATTCTATGTGTAATATTTCCCTTCTTCAGTACATGATATTCAGAAATTCTCAGCAATACTGAATTAGTGTTTCTACTTGTGTCTGTTCTGAAATAATCATATTTCTCTACTTTAATAGGTAGTGCTTCTGGGCAGAGCAACTTTTTGCCAATTATTTAATTTCAAAGCAAGATATGTATTATTGTGAACTTTCTTTGCTTTTTGTATTGCTGGTAACAGACTTATATTATTCTGATATTTTTGCCTTTAGATGACTGTTGATATTTTTCCCTTACACATTTTAGTATCGCTTCTTTGCTTTGTGTGTTTGATATGCAGACAATGATGGATCATGAAAAGGTTCTTTCATCATGTCTGAGTATGATTCCACATTTGAATATTTATTTCTTTGCTTGATTTGAGAAATTCTTGATTACATTTTAACTGAAAAGCTTGTATACATTTTATTTCAGCTCCTTCTTTCTTACCCTTAATTTTTTCATAACCTTAATTCTTAAGTTTGATATCTTGAATATATGCCTGACTTACTAGAAGTGTCATGTTAATTTTTTATATCAGTATAATAATGTTACAAACTTAGACTCTATTCCTAATATTTGCTCTTCACCTTGGTCATATTTTTTGACAATGCTTTCTATTGTGTAATTTATTGAACGTAAGTGTTTCAGTTATTTCCCAAATTTCTGTTTTCTATTTCAATGTCCTCTTTTTTTCTTTTCTGATTTTTTCTCCAAATTTTTTTTCTTGCAAGGTACTGATTCTTTCATCTATTTTTAATTTTTTAAATCTATGTCTTGAATTAATTTCCTGTTTTAGTACTCTATCTTAGCCTAAACTTCTTACTTTCTAACTTCAGCCTTCTACCTTGTCTTTGGACCTTTAAAACGTTGCACTCTTTACTGTTTCTGGCAGTTCAGCTCTCTCCATCTTGGTTAACTGGTTATATAGCTATCACAGTGTAAGGTCCTCTCATGACTTTGTTCTTTCAGTTTTACGCTTTGTGTGCCTGTGTTTGCCCCCAGGCTTGTAGTTTTTTCTTCTTCTTCCCATTGTTTTTGCTTGTTTTGTTTTATGATAATCCTCACAGCGTATTTATGTTCTGAAGGAAAATCTACTGCAACAACTAATAGAATGATTTTTACAAAAGTTTCTCTGTTCTTTTCATGGCTTTACTGGGAGGTATGTAGATGGCAGTACTAAGATCATCTTTGTAGGTATGCTGTCTTCTGTCTTGAATGGAGTAACAACAAAGTTATTCTGTTTGTCATCACTTGCTTTGAAGTTCCTGAGAATGAGTTCACAAAGCATGCTAACCTAGCAATGGTCATTTTGAGACATGCATACTTCCTTCTGCTTTATTGTCTCCCCTTGCAGCCCCACTTGCAGTATATTTGCTCAGATTCCCATTCTTGTTCTTGTGTCCCTTTATGGCTGCACGCTCCACTGCTCAGACTAGAGTATACTGCTGTGACTCCTCTGTACACTGGTCT